TCCGCTAATAATGAACCATGAGATTGGTATTTTCTTGCCAGGCTATGTCGAGCGGTGGGAATCCAAGAACGCATTTCAGTGGCGTCGGGCACCCCGCCAGGTCGAACGTCGGTTCCAAGATGAGCTTCAAGGCCTCTTCACTAATACTGATGTCTCTGGAAATGCACGAGTGTCCTCGTTTTCAAACTATCTACTCATTCATGGTCTGCTCCAGCAAATCTACCTTGATCGTCGCGCGTCTACCGGGTCGCTAGAGCCAGGCATGATCAAATCCTTTGAAACGGCTCTGCGCGCTTGGCAAAGATCTTGGGAGCGTAGCAAAGAGTCCACGCTTGATCCCTCATCAGCCAAGGGCCCGCTGGGGCTGAGTGCAACGGCGCTGCTTCGACTTGCCTATATCCGTCTGAATTCGGACCTCGCCCCGTATCTGGCAGGAGAGTTTCAAGGTATTTTCAGTCAGGGCTCTGACCTGAATAGGTCTCCACAGGGCGACAAAGCCGTTCTTCACGCCTCACATGCTCTAGCCCTCCCCGTCCATCACGGAATTCCGTTCATGGCCAGCAGTCAGACAGCAATGTGGACCATCGAGCACTCCCTATGCAGCCTTGCATGCGCACTGTTACTCAAAAATTGGCTCGAAGAGATTTCCAGGATCGTCCGAAACGGTGGTATCGAGTCACTACGCAAGATCGAGAAAACGCTTCTGCGCATCATCATCGGCACCATCAGAGAAACATGTTTGGTCGACACGCTGAGCATGTTCGAAGATGACGCATCTCGCATTCAGCGAATGGCTTCGACTGTAATCAAACTATGGGCAGCTATGTTCCAAGGGGTTCACATCCTCGAGATCGACAATACCATCCGAGATGGGCTTGGACTCGTCGCGGACACTACGCTACATTGATGCACACCTTTCCGATGTGCTGTCCAGACTCGACGTATTTCAGGGCCGCGACGATATCAGCCCTGTTGAAGCCGAACGTTTTGCCTATAGGGACCGTCACACCTCGACTCGCCACGAAGTTAACAGCCTCTTCGAGCTGCTGCTTCGACCCGACCTGAATGCCGTGAAGTATAACGCCCTTCGAAAGTACCAACAAAGCCACGTCAGGCATCTTCGCCTGATCAATATTTTTCAAGAACCCGATGGCGGAGATGATCCCTCCGGGTGCGACGGATGCGATGCTCTGTTCGATAGTGCCCGCGCCGCCATTTTCAATGACGTGGTCCACGCCTTGGCCGTTGGTGATGCGCTGCACCTCGGCAGCCCAGTTGGGCTGCGTCTTATAGTTGATAGTGTAGTCAGCACCAAACTGAGACTTCATAAGTGCGAGTTTGTCGTCGCTAGAAGACGTGATGATAGTTGTCGCACCCGCGGCCTTGGCAAAAGCGAGAGCCGTCAGGGAGACACCTCCAGTGCCTACAGAAACCACGTTAAAATCGCCCTTTCTGGTTACCCGAGGGTGGTAGAGAGGGTCGTCACAGATAGACATACCTTGAATCAACACGGATTGACCCGGCTTCAACGAGCCGCAGCCGTAGAAAGAATTCCACACCGTCGTGCCCGTTGCCGGCAGCGCAGCCCACTGGGTGAAGCTGTGGGACGATTTGGGCAGCTTGATGACGGTATGCGCCGGCAGGACCATATATTCGCGTAGCACGCCGTCAATGTGTCCGCCGAGGGTAACCTCAGGGTCCTTGAGCGCACCGTACAGGGCCCCCAAGTTGGTAGGGATCACGACGGGGTCGCCAACGGAGAACCCTTCAACGTGCTCGCCCACCTGGACGACCTCGCCGGCTCCGTCCGAGCAAGGGACCACGCGGTCCTTGACGCCGAACGGAGGCGGATACGTGAGGTTGCCGATGGCCACATCCCGGTAGTTGAGAGATACGCCGCGCAGCTTAATCAGCACTTCGTAGCTGCTGGCGCTCGGAATCGGCTCCTTGAACTCTTCGAGCCCGTCATAGCTGCCTCGCTTGATCCAGCGGAACACGGTCTGAGTTGCCATTGTAAGAGAGGTGGTGTAAAAAGTTGTTGCTGAGCTTAGAAGATGATAGGTGAGCTTGATAAGTATTTCTTGTCAAGGGATCAAGTTTGGACAGAAGACACGAGAGAAAACCGGTATCAAGAAAATCCTAGTCTGCAAATTTGAGCTGATGAGAGAGGATGCCGAACTCAAACAGACTGAGGAAGGTCGACGGCCATTATATAGGTTTCTTCGAGCCATATCTTTTGCGAACTTGAGGCTGTATTTCTAAGGCAGACTCTATCCTCATTGGTCAATGGGTGGACGATTGGGGTTGATATTGGAGTAACAAGTCTCTCTCGGGCAGATTCCACTTATTCGGGGCTGATTAGTTGGGGTAGAAATTACCAATCCTCAAAGCTCCTGAGTTTTCTTTACTATGTCATCATCCAGCTCTTACAAGATGGACAAGATGAGCCATTCAAAGGAATACTGTGCGGGTTTGCGCGTGGGTTCTATACACCTACCGTGAGGTAAAGGGGAAGAAGGTCGTGCAGGTTCTCTCCGTTGAAGCAGCTCCGCGCAGGGAAGGTTGGAGTAAGACGAAGACCGTGGAACGCCCAGCTACTGTAAGTCCGACAACTTCATTAGACTATTCGCAGTATCACTTTACAGCTAACGATACTACACAGCTGTCCATAGCTCCGTCTTTCTCTCGGCATGCACCTTACTCATGGCCCATGGAGCATGATATGTTGGGTCCTTTTGACGTTGGTAACGGCTAGCGTACCAAAATGGATGGTGACACAGTCGTATATATGACCAATACGTGTGTCTCCCGAGCCCTGGTATGTTTCATTCGGTCGTTAGCTGGCACCGACGCCGACGCCGTCCCGTGTGAGACATGAGACATCATGACCCCTTTCCTTTACTGATAGAACGGCGTGCTGGGCTTTTGGCCGCACTTGAATACGCATACATTAGATGGACATTGCCATGCGTTCTGATTCTCAGATGTCTCTATCAACGATATCTAGGTGCCTACTCGAACTACGACCTTACCTAGCCGGATATGCCTGAAACCCGCTTGCAGGCGCCTTCTTCTCTCCACTTGCAGTCCCGAGCCACCATGGCGCCTCTGCGGATCGCCATCGTGGGCGCGGGCGTGGGCGGGCCGGCGGCGGGCGTCGGGCTGGCGCGCAGCGGCCACGACGTGGCGCTGTACGAGCGCGCGGCGGGCGTCGGCGGCGTCGGCTTCGCATTCCGCATCGCGCCCAGCTCCGACCGCTGCCTGCGCTTCCTCGGCGTCGACGTCTTCGCCCCCGGCGCCGGCGCCGTCCTCGGCGGCGCGTCCCGCTTCCTGCGCCCCGACGGCTCCCTCATCCTCGAGGTGCAAGAGAACGCCAGGGCCGAGGATCGCGAGGAGAAGGGGCTGGCGGCTTTTGCTTATAGGGTATGTCCGTGTACCTCGCTTGCGCCTGTATGTTGTATTTCTTGACAATAGTAGACGCTGACCTGGGAAATATCTATCTAGCTCGGCCTGCAAAAGCAACTCATCGACGAGGCTTTGAAGCAGGGCGCCCGGGTCGAGATGGGCGTCGAGGTGACCTCTGTCGACGTGGATAGCTGCACGATCAGCTTCGCCGACGGATCTACGTCCTCCGTGGACCTAATTATTGGGGCGGATGGAGTACATGTGAGTGAGGTCACTCCCGTGGCAAGACACATTGACTGAGAAGCCTCGATATTATCAGTCTTGTATCAGGCCATACGTTGTCGACAGCAGTATCTATTTTCCCAAGGCGTCTACGGGAGATAGCTGTCTGAGGACCATGATTTCGTGCCAGGCCATCCGGGACGACCCCATTACCTCGAACGTCATCAACGACAAGTGTGGCCTGGTTGCTTGGAGGGCGGAGGACAGACTCGCCGTCGGGTACGTGACCGACGAGGGCAAACAGTTCAACCTGGTCTGCACGCACCCCGAAGCGTTGTCTAGCAGCGAAACGTCGTCCGGAGACGACGCTGAGAAGACAGGTAAGAATAACACAAACTGGCTACATATGTCCATAGGCTGATCATGAGGATGGAAAGAATACAACCAGAAGATCTCTCTCGAAGCCGCAAAGGAAATGTACAAGAATTTCGACAAGGCCCTCATTCGGCTGCTGGAGCTGGCAGACCCAGGCGGCTTCCGCGTGTGGAAACTCATGGACATGGACGACATCCCAAACTGGAGCCGGGGCCGCGTCGTGCTGCTCGGCGACGCGAGCCACCCCGTGTTGCCGTTCGGGTACGCGGGGGCCTCCATGGCGATCGAGGACGCCGTTACCTTGGCGGTGCTGCTGCCATTGGGCGTCCAGCCGGCGCAGATCCCGGACCGGCTGCGGCTGTTCGAGCACTTACGCAGGGCGCGGGCTTACAAAGTGCGGGATGAGAGCCGCAAGAGAGCCGCCGGTGTTCAGAATGCCGAGGTCTTCAATGAATACAGAGACTTCCTGAATATGCACGATGCCGTGGCGTATGCTGAGCAGGCGTTGAAGGAACACGAGGAGTCGGCGTCTATATAGGGGTTTCTGAGGATGGTGCTTGAGCTAAGGTGATAAGGGGGGGGGGGGGGGGGGGGGGCGTACGAGAGGATGCGAATTCCTTTCAGACTGTATCACCAAATAGCTGAACTCTGGAATTGGGCTTATCGACATGCCTGTCGCTATGTTGAGACCTCAGTATAATCCATGGTGCTCAGGGGTAAACGGCTTTTCATATAAGAGGTGTATCTTCCTTCGCACAGCTAGTATATATACTACTACTCACTCTACCGTAGAGCGCCGCATTATTATACCGCTCTGGTACTTGCCAGCAGTACTTTGTTTGCTGCCCGTTGCTTCAGCTGCAACACCACGGCCTCCAGCTGTATCCGAAGCCTTGCCGGCGCCGACGTTGAACCGGTATCCCAGGGCGCCAGCCAACCCCACCGCCAACGATAGGGGTTATGTACCAAAATTGCAGTACTGGTTTTCACCCAACAAAGCCGCGGTGGTCTAGTGGTATGATTCCGGGAGAGCGACTTCGAGGTCCCTAAAAACGCGGTTGTCAGGCACCACAATAGCTGCGGATGCTAGCCACAGCGAGGGGATCTAGCGAGTGCTACAGGCCCTGCATGCAAGGTGACACCTCTACCGGAGACTCCAGTTCGATTCTGGCCCGCGGCAATCAATTCTTTTTTCATTTCCTTGACCCCTTTACTAAATCCTCTCAATATTTTCTCAGCCTGACCCCTATTGCATTTTTACTATGATCATTTCATCATGACAACACATTTTTAATCATTCTTTCATTTCTTCTTGGAGATTTTCCTTAATCTATACGAGTGCGTAAGGTAGTGATTCTTCGCTTAGTAGCTGTTCATCTGTGTAAGAGCTATCCGTGACCATGGTAGAGTATTATTACGAGAGTATGTGTAAGGGCTACATAGTAGCCAATTCTATCCCTAGTAGATACAAGCATGTTGTCTCTATCATAACATTCCCCGTTTGGAGGCACAAGTATCTAAGTTGTTCTACTAGCTACCTCCTGACTGGCAATAATGAGCGCCTCCTATGGCAATACCCAACTAACACTCTGATATTAAACTCACAACACACACGAGTCATCCAGCGGCCGGGTCTTGAATGTCAAGGGTTACTAAAATACACTTATACTCTCAACTGCCACCATACGAGTCCAGCACGACGTGGTCTCGCTGTATACCTTAGGTAAGGTCAAAATAGATGCTGTCTGTTCCTATGCGCCCAAACTGCCGGTACTACAGTTTATACGAGCGAACAATGGGTCCTTTAACTTGGAGAGGGTAAAGAAGACGTCGGCACCAGAAATTCAAAGACCGAAGATTGACTTCGCGACGCGTCCGCATAATTATAGCCCGTGGAATTCCGATCTGAAATTACTTGTGTCATGCGAAGTGGGAAACGGATACGATTTATTTATAGACGGATACTAGGGTATGGCTTTAACGAGGTCTTACGGACATATACAGAAACAGAAAAATGCACCGAACGGGGACTTGTCCGTAAGTAATACGTCATCATCACGGAGCTCAACCCTGCTCAAACATCAACAACGCGACGGCATTCCAACTTCCTTCTTCTCAACAACGCGGGGTAAACTCGACTCTGCGAAGCTCACTTTCTCCATGTTGAATTCATATTTTTCGACCTTCGTATCTTAAACCCGTCCATCAGCCATCGAAACGGAATACCTGCGCTGTTCTGTTCGAAATGGCTACCCAAGGCTACGTGCAGGCATCCCTGATTTGGGTGGCTTATGCCGTCGCAGTGGTTTTGGCCTTCGTTGCTGCTACAATCACCACGTTTGTCTGGCAGACCCCTCGAGATCGATCGGCCGTCGTTAGTACTGTCACTATTATCAGCTTCACGGCCCTCCTCGCTACCGTTTTCCTCCTGCCCGTCGACATCGCGCTCGTATCGTCGACGACTTCTACGGCCCTCGGTATCAAGAAAGACTGGGCGACGCCCGGACGCATCCGAAGCATCCTCCTCACGCTCAAAATCGTATACTATTCCCTCTACAGCCTCGACGCCTTGCTATGCTTGCTGGTCATTCCCTTCACGTATTTCTGGTACGAAGAGTACGATGAGGTAGAGGAGCAGGAGGGCAACCAGACGGTCGGCAGCCGGCTCTGGGGTGCCTTCAAGTACACCATCGCCTTCGTGCTGCTCGTCGTCATTCTCTTCCTCGTCGGCTTCTTCGTGCCGGCCGCGGGCACCCGCGACGGGGGCGGCCACCTCGACCTCGACTTCTTCAAGCGCCTGCTCGAGCAGAACCATGGCGAGAAGGCGCTAACGTTTGGCGTCGGCCTCCTGATCACTTTGGGCACCCTGCTCTACGTGCTCTACACCGGTGCTGGCCTCGCCCTCTTCCCCGTATCCTTCATCAAGTCGGCCCCCTCCGTGTCGGCGCCCCAGCTATCGGAGAACACGGCGTCGCAGCTCGAGCAGAACAGGGAGCGCCAGAGGCAGCTGGAGATGCGCAACGCCGGCCGGCCCGACGGCATGCCGGCTAAGGACAGGCGCGAGCTCGAGGCGCTCGCCCGCGAAGAGCGCACGCTGGTACGGCGGGAGCGGCTCGCAGCGGAGGCACAGGGCGAAGGCAAGAGCTTCATTGTGAGGGCCTGGTCCAAAGTGTGCGCTGTATTCCGGCCCGTCAAGCTCATCGGTGGCATCCTCCTGATCCTGTTGGCGGTGCTGGTCTGGGTCTCGATGCTGATCACGGGCATCGACAAGGCGGCCAACTCGGTGTGCAAGCAGCACTGCGGCTACATCCTGGCGCACATCAACGTGTTCCAGCCCATCAACTGGATCTTCGTGCAGAGCGCGCGGGCGTTCCCGGTCGACTATGTGCTCATGGCGCTGCTAATCCTGCTCTTCTTCAGCGCGTCCATCTCGGGGGTGGCGGCCATCGGCATCCGCTTCCTCTGGCTGCGCATCTTCCAGATCCGCCGCGGCCGCACGGCGCCGCAGGCGCTGCTCGTAGCCACGGTGATGCTGGCGCTCATGGTCCTGGGCATCAACTACGCGGCGGCCATGATGGTGGCGCCGCAGTACGCCAGCTACGGCACGCAGACCTTCTGCGACCTGCCGCCGCACTTCGCGGATTCGCAGCCCGACTGCAGTTCCACGCCTGAGGCCGTCAAGCCGTGCTCCGAGTGGGCAAACTCGTCGGCGCGGTCGTTGCAGGCGTGCACGCCTACCGTCATGTCGACCTTCCTCAACCGCGTCGGCCTCAACTGGCCTGTCTTCGGCGCCGTCAACTTCTGGGCCCAGTTCGCCTTCCTCGCCGTCTTCCTCATTGTCTTCCTCACATCCCTCTTCCGCGCTCCCCGCCTCAGCCTCAGCGACCTCGACGAGGAGGCCGAGGTCGACGAAGAGGAGGGCCTCCTCGCCAGCACCTCTAGGCGCTTCGGTGCCACCTGGCAGGACATTACCGGCCGCGCTAACAAGCGCTCCTATGGTACTGACGGCGCCGAGGCTGATCGCAACGGCTCTGGATCTGGGACGTAATTATATCATCCGTGACGAGTGCGTTTTCCTTTAGTCACTTTTTTTTTTTTTTTTTTTTTTTGTTTAGGGGGCAGGACATTGAAATGGCACAGAACACGAAAGGGGCTTGGTATACGTTGGCATAAAACTCTTTTTGGTCCTGACCAGCTGTTATACCTGGGGGAGTTCTTCCTGAGCCCGCGTACGATGGTAGGTACCTAACACGGGCGGCTTCTTCACTCGTATGCATCTCAGTAGCAGGGCGACGAAGGTATCGCACGGGAACGTATTGGGGTAAAAGGGGTTGGGCTGCTAGGCATCATATACGGGGACACAATGGACAGGCGTTGCATCTCAAATTGTACTACTGATCAGGACGTGGAATAGGCTAGGCTGGGGAAAAAAGAAAATCAAGGTATACCGTATCCCTTACTTTTTGTTACAATCTTGTGGGCGTGCGTTTGCGTATCATTATGCTTTGTGACGTGTAAGAAGGTATTTGCCTTCTCGTACACTCGCTGTGTTTCATCAAATTCGTAGGCCTATGCTTCTCCTTCCCTTACTTACTACATACCTCCCTGCCTCCTAGGGAGCGAATCAATTATGAGGCCCTGCCTGTTCCCTTCGAAAACATTGATGCGTAAGGAGTTTGCTAATCCCAACGACGATGAGTACGCCTAACACACAGCTCACAAACACGGCGTATTTATTATTTGTAATCCCTCGGGTAATATTAAAGGTAGTCAGAGTGGATCTATTCTCTGTCAAGGCGTAGCTTTCAGTAAAATAGCTGAGCTGACAGGTCGGTTCATGTTCTTCAGCTGAGTTCTTAAGGACCCATTAGGAAGGTCACAGAGAAGGTTCTTACATATGTCGCCAAAGTGGCTATGCGACAATCCTTTCTATGAAGATCTGCTGTAGACTATATTACAACCGGGTATCTAAACAGTCATGCAAAATCTCACCTCACTCTCGTGGCATCTATCCTCGTTTCCGCGTTATCGTGAATTCGCCAATCACACAAGAGCCATCCGCCGTATACTCTCATTCATGTCCACCGTGGTATCGTAATATCGTTGTATCGTGGGGGGTGGCCCTTCTGGCCTTCACCGCCCCCTCACAAACTTCTCCCACCGATGCCCCCGCTCGACGTAGCCGGCGCTGGGGCCGACGTGCATCTCGCGCCAGCAGCGGGCGCAGTAGACGTCGTCGCCGCGGTCGCAGTCGCGGCAGCGGACGGTGCCGTCCTCGAGACACACGACGCACCACGTCTTCTGGTCCTCGTCCGTGTAGCCGACGCGCTTGACGAGGCCCGGCGCCGGCCGGTCCGCGGGCGCGAAGCTGGGCACTTCGGGTAGCCCGAACGCGTCGACGGCCGTGTCGGGCGCCGAGGGCAGAGTGCGCGTGCTGTCGACTTTCAGCGCCGCCATGCGCGAAGCGATGGACGCGGCGAACTCGGCGTCCTCCTGCGACAGGTCGACGGGGTCGGTTGGTTGGTCCTGGAGGTCGGACGGGACGGTGGGTAAGTCGAAGGGGTCATTCTTGCTGGGGCTATGTGCTGCCGTAGACGTATCTGCTGCGTGATCTTGACTGCCTGTCCCCCTACTGTGAACTGGGGAGTCGGGCCGAGTTTGCTGTCGGGGAGGCTCGTTCGCTTTCTCCCATTCTGCTTCGTCGACGGCTTTCGCGAGGATGTCTTCGGCCTCGCGAGTCATATGCTTGCCCTCCGAATCATCGTCACTGCTGTCCTCATCGCCGTTGCCATCTTTGGTATTGCTAGTCTCGGCGTGATCTGGACCTGGGCTGGTGCTAGACGCCTTGCCGAGCTCTTCGAGAAGAGCAGTGACTCTGCGGTGCTCCTCCTCCTCCGCTGCTACCTCGTCGAGCCACTGCTGGTCAGATTCTAGGTCTGCCAAGAGCTCTTCGAGCGTCTGGTCATCTGAGATGAAAAGCGCATCTGCACTGTCAGTGGTCTCGTCCACCGAGACTGGCGGCGCGGCTCCTTTCGTCCCACTCGCAACTGGACTATCGGATGCAGGCGGAGGCTGCGAATGCGATGTTTGATCGGGAGATGATGGGTCGACAGTAACGCTCTCCTTACGAGTGAGCTCCGGTGTAGAAGTACGAGGCTTACTCTCGGATTGATTGCGGAG